GTAAGTATCCCAAACACTTTTGTTACCTTTGCTCATTCTAACCCTGAATTCTTCCTTTTGAAGACTGAGTAATGCTGATCCTCAGGCTACAAAAGGAAGGATAGATCCCAAAAAAAATTTATAGAGGCAGTCTGAATCTCCTCAGCTGAACTTTATGGATGTTTTTAATCAAGACAGTCAAATATTCAAAGCCATTCTGAAGTGTGATTCGTACCTCCTTATGGAATAAAGTCCAGAAGCCTAGCTGGGCTTGGCTACATCAGCAGCCTGCCCAGCTCAATTCTGTGCCCAGCCTCAGAAATAAGGGATGCTGTTTAGGGAAATCACACAAACCTGGCTGCTTTCTGCAATTCAGTACCATTCATGCTGATTGGATTAGGGCTATTAGAGGGTACACCTTCACTTAATCCCTTTAGCACCCTTTATGGACCTGTTGTCCATGATAAAACAGCCAAATGTAAAGCCCCTTACAAAATGAAGTTCTTTAGGGGAAACACTGACAAGCTCCTTTAGTCTATTAGCACTGTTGGGTGCTGCTTTAATAAAGAACTCCAGTTGCACTGTGAAGCAAGAGCAATGCCTGACTGCGATATCACTGTCATGTGAATGAGCTGTCCCAGTACTGCAGAGTCTGCTCTTTACTGTACGCAGAGACACATCAATACTGAATATAGTGTGTTAGCAAAACAGAATGGAAATCTTTTAGGTGAAGAATGGCTTTGCTGATTGCTCTGCTCTACCAGAATGGGGTGTGTTTTCAGGCTTTCTGATAAATGTGTGCTATTTTTCAGCCATTCAGTGTGAAGTGCTGTAGGTTTCGTATAAACTTTTATTGCTCACCACAGGCATGGAAGGATTGATTACATTGTTTGGGGATTTCCTAACTTCTGAGGCAGCCTCTTTAGCCAGACTTAATACAGTACACAAGGGGAACAAAATGCTGTTGGGCTACTTTGTAGTTTGCTTTCTACCTTTACTTTTTTGAGATCATCCCATCTGGTTTGGAGTTGTATAGTCCACAGTCTACAGCTATCGTCAATAAGGGCAAATCCATAAACAGAATGTAAAGGGCTATTTCATATTAGTACCTATGCTTTTGTGTAGTTCTGAACATCACTGAGAAGGAAGAAATATCTTACCTTGGGAATGGGGTACTGGAGATGTATGGATTGTGCTAGCAATTTTGGTGCATCTATACTTAGATCTCTTTAATGCCAAGGGAAGACATTGAGGCAGATTACTATTTTCTGATGTGAATAGCAGCACATGCTTGTCTGAGTAGGGCAAATTCATGTATAGCCCTGGCAGTTAACTGTTAGTGACTTTATAATATATCTTAGGGTCTCTGGACCAGTTACCAGAGGTACTACCCTCCAATTCCAACTAAGTGAACTAGTCAGACCTCAGGTTTACCATAACTCAGTTTTTCCAATTCTCAAATCATGGTTCTCAGGCTGGGAATTTTGCTTTTCTCTGTATCATCAGATACGTGACCAAATATAAAAAAATAAGATTTTATCGTGATCTAAATTTCTTAGATTTTCTAGTAGGACTGCGTAGAGCCCCCGCAAAGACACTGACCTGGATTTCTACTACTTTACAAATTGAATCTACTGAAATTCTCCTCTACTATTATGCATGACTCTTGTCATCATCATTTGCTAGCTACTTGGCATATTGTTCCATTCTTGATTGTTGGACAAAAGTCAGGAATATCTCCCTTAAAATGAATGCTGCTTTTATTGTTAAAAACCTAGCATGAGGAGACTGGCGCCCTAGTCATTATGAACAATTCAAGCTTTCAGTAAATAAATAATTCAATTCAATTAAAGCAAATGTTTGCCCTGATGTATCATAGTTTCTAATTTCTTTAGCATGCATTCTCAGGAGGTGTTTATGGGAAGTGATACTCAAAGAAATCTTCAAGGAAGATTCTGTAAGAAAGCAGTTATGGTGCAATTTTACTTTCCTGCCAGGAGTGTGTGGTGTAAAGCTTAAAGAGGATCCCAACTCAGAATAAGCCTGTCAAGTTCACGTGGTATATGGAAACAAAGGTTCAGTCTGGCTTCCTATAGGAACATATCATCTTCTACTTCCCAGTTGTAGAAAGGCTCTTCTTAAACAGGGGAAGTGGACAATGAACTAGATAAGGAGCTATGAAATTGTATAAAACCCGTGCTATCATGCCTACCAGTGTCCCAAGCCCTCTGCAAAGTTGTTTGTAGCTCTGAAGCTGTTTATAACATCCTCGACTAGTCTTGTGAACTCCCAGACTCCTCTCAGGGAAGCAATAGAAAGAGCTGTAGTCCAGTAGAAATCAACAAGCTGAGCCAACAGATTCTGCAGCTACTTCTTCGAATTCCTGAGCCTAGTTCTTTCTAGTCTCCTCTGGAGGTTTAGACATTGCCTCTATACATAGATGTGAGGATGGAGTTCTGGTTTGGTCTACTGATCTGGAAACAGGATTTTCCTCATATATTCCTGCCACTTTTGTCACCTTCAAACCAAATCCTATAACTCTACCTCAATACAGAAAGTAGGGGGAAAATGTGACTCAACAGTCTTGCATTAAAACCCCTGGGGGAAGTTCTCCATTCTGTTTTTCTGCCTGAATATATATGTGGGAGGGTAACAATGTGTTGAGAAGTGAGAACATTTAGGGACAGAATCTTCCCAGGAATGAATGTTCAGATTGCCTACCAAAGCAACTCGAGGGCAGAAACTAGCCCTTAAATATTATCAGACATCTGGGCAAATAAAAGCAGTTTAGCTCAAACTCCCTCTGTTTTTCTTGCTCAGAAAGTACTCAGCATAAGATGTCAATTTTTGAAAGTAAAGCATGGGTAAGTGATCAGATCCTTCACCCTCCTTTTCCTTTGAGAAAAGACTTATGGCTGTGCTTGAAACCAGCAGTCAACTCAAAATGAAATTCACACGATACAAACTACAACTGAGCTTAAGTCTCAAAACTCAGATCTGGATCCAGATTTCAAAAAGTAAAACTGGGGTAAAAACTCACGACACCAGGGATGAAGTAACAACCCACCTAATCCAAGCCAATGTAAACCCAAATCTATCCCAAATTTGTTAAAGGTTCACCAAAACCATATTACTTTCAGCTCATAGAAATGACCTTTGGGCATTTTTTGTCAGGGAGTGATTTAATCCTTGACTCAACACTGCTTCCTCAATGGATGCTATCTCTCATATTTTTGTGATCCTTTCTCCACAGAAATTCTTCACAAAACCCGTAGAGGAAATAATTTATATATAAAATATGCACAATGGTACAATCAGCAAAAGAGAAAAAGAAGAAAGAGAGAAAGAAAGCAGAGATACAGAGAAGCCAGTGCTGTTTCTTGTCATCTAAAGTGTTGCCAAGTACTTTTCATTTACATAGATGACTTAATGATGATTTTATGATACTTAAAATTACTACCGCCCACAAGAGATGCATTAAAACTTTTATCAATATGTCTCTTTTACAATCTCTTTGACTGTAACAATGAGGAGAACATGGGGGGGGGGGGGGGGGGGGGGGGGGAGGAGGGGGGAAATAAAAAATGAAAACAAATAGCTTCATGCCAGTAACCAGAAATACAACTTTGTGACCTTTCTAGATTAATAAATAAATAAATAAATAAATAAACAAATCTACTAGTATCGACATGATTTAAATTTACATGAACAAATAAGCTGTTTCACACAATAGAAACAAGTAATACACTAGGACGGGAACTGTGACCAGCCTGGGACCTCTTAAAGACCCCTCTGGACCTGGCAGGAGCTTAGTTTTCCTATCTCACAGAGAGCCCCCTATGCTAGTCTAATTACCTTTTTAAATTCATATCTAGAACCACAGGCTGCCTCATGGGATTAAGCACAGTATGCTTTGCAAATTGAAAATAAGATAGCTGTTAGGGATATACACTTGCCTCTATGATTACAGCAACAAACAATGGCAAAACATTAATTTACATCTATTATAATGGCGAAACAAAGCCCTGGATTTTCTTTATGTTATAGGCAAGAGATAAATCTGCAAAGGTGAGATTCTAAAAAGTGTAGGCTCTAATGAGGGAGATTTTCTGCAGAGCAGGTAACTGGCAGGATGACATCAATTCAAAGTTATGAGGATTTGGTATATCATTAAATTTATTTTCCATAAAATGGATTTTTTTTTTTTTATGTAATGGTAAAACTATTCATAGGGAGAAAAAGTTTATGTATATATATGGGGTGGAAAGAAATTGTGTGGGGTGAAACAGTGCAAAGCAGTTGCAACAGCAATCCAGTCATGCCTGGGTCTAGGATTTTTAAAGGTGTTTTATCTGGTAGAAATGAATACAGCATTTACAAATTGAAAATAACTCTGTAAACTCAGATAAGATTGTCTTGGTAATATTTTAGCAAGGAAGGAGCTCACCACTGCTTACTTTCAATTAGCCATCTAAATCATAGCCTATACAAAAAGCATTCCCTGCTGCCTTGTAATAAAAAAAAAAAAAGAAAGAAAGAAAAAAAGAAAGGAAGAAAGAAAGAAAGTTAGACTAGTTCCTCAGAGTTTTGATTCATGTTGCTGAATATGGAAGATCTGTAATCTTCCCCTTGGAGTCTATAGTCTAATGTAACTGCTTGAAAGTACTTTCCTTCTGCTGCTGGCAAAGATATTTTTTTCTGAAATGAATGGTGATTCATTATAGATAACCCTTCCCGATTAATTTTGTTTTGACTTTAACTTCTGAATAAGAATATAAGCAGTAAAGTACCTTCTCCCCAAATAATAACTCTGCTTATTTTTGGTTGACAAAGAGAAATTCACTGTAGTTGATGTAGAGAGAAATCTAAAATTAGAAAGAAAACAAAGACATTGACTGTCATCCAAAGTTCTAGCTTTAGGATAAATAAGTGTCATTTTATTACTGCTACTTGCCTGTGATTAATAATAAATATGTATACTTGGAATCAGTATTCACATTTTCTGTCTTCTGTCTACATAGTCCACAGGCCTAACTTGCTTGGAGGACTGACTGGTCAAACTGAAGAAATCTAATTTGTGTTTACATTTTTCCACTGATTCACATGCAGTATTTTGGTAAACTTGAAGAGACCAAATACCAAACCTTGCTGCAACAGTGACTGGAACTTATCGGGGCCGAACTCTGAAAGAATATGAAATTATGAAGATTGCTATGACAGAAGATACGTAAGAACCTGAAAACCAGACATAGGTGTAAGTCACTACAAATAACATTTTTTTTTTCAGCAAATGAATCTGCTTCATGATTTTGTAGATGAGTCTCCCTACCTTCTCTCTGGTTTTTAACCAAAATTCCATTTATTTTAGCTCAGTTCTTCAATTTTTTTATAAGGGCATTTTCTTTTTTTCAGTTGATAAGGACTTAACCTAATTTTGCTGGATGAATACTATGACTTGAACTTGTCACTTTTTCCAGTTTGGTTTAGTTTGTTTGTTTGCTTTCATATTTTTCTTTGTTTTGTTCAGTGTTTTTTAGGATTGAGAAGATGCCTGAATATATGTCTGAGTTATTAGCCAAGGTCCACCAACACACCCAAAAAAGAGAAAGAAATATGACATAGAAATATTAAAATTAAAAATGAATTCTGCAACACTAAACAGTACATGCAATATATAAAAAGGGTTTTGCAATGTTGGATGTTATCAAATACACCTGAATGATTTTATTTGCACTCAAAAAAAGGTTGAACCATGCATGCACCTCCCTGCAAGAAGTTAGCCCCAGGCAGGAAAGGAGTTTTTCACTCTTTTTCATTCTCTGCTATTTAATAGTGATTTACTACCAGTTAAGCACATGCCTGGTGTTTTAAAGCTGTTGAAGTATCCCAGTGAAGTCAAGGGGACTAATGTATGCTGGGATTCTCCATGCTGAAAAATCAGGTTGATGTTTCACTGTCTTGTTTAAGAAAGACCTAAGTATTGAAGCATAATTTGATTAACAGTTTGGTCACTCGGGACAAGGATATACTTATTTTCCCTTTCTATGCTGAAAGGAAGCATTTCATTTTATTTTTCTGTGATTTATTTTTGACATATGAAATACCTAATTTATAGTAACGAATGGGATACTTCTGCCTTAAACAAAAATACATTTTACATAAATCTTCAGCCATGAAAAAATGAAGCCCAGGCTCGTGAAAACAAACATTTTGTTCTATCTGTGTGTTCCCTAGGTTTCAGCCTACCTGCATCATTTTGTTGCATGCTTTCACTGACACTCCATCTATAGTTGTAGATGGACCCACTGTTCAGCCTACGTTAGTGATTTTTCCTCCTGCAAAGAAGCTGGAAACATCTGAAATATTGCTGCAACTGCTATCTGCAGTGCAGTCTGCAAAGTTTTACACACTGGCCATGTTCAACCACAGTCCCCAATCAAAACCAACATCAACTATGTAGTGCAGACAGCCCTCATATGCTCCTAACACTTATGAAAAGTTGTTTGCTTATTGTATTTCTTGTGTAGTGCACAAGAGCACTTAATAAAATAGAGACAGGTTGGGGGAGCACCTATAAGAATGCAATAAAAAATTATTTTATAAAGAGTATTTGTAAGTATCTTAAACAACAGCATCCTCTGAACTGCAGTAAATATTAATCTGTGGATGACTGGGGAAAAAAAAAGAAAAAATAACAACAACAACAAACAGAAAAAAATTTAATTAAGTTAATTCTGATTTTAAAAAAAGAAAGAAAAAAGAAAAGCTGCTTTAGGGGTGGGAGGAACTAGAATTGAAAAGCGGAGCCAGGCTATTGCATTGATGACATTTTTACTATTTCACCGAAGCTGATTACAGTTTACCTTCTTCTTTCCACATATACGTATTTTTAAAGCACCAATTCACGCTGAAGTGAAGAAGTGGAGTACTCTACATATGCCATAAGTTCAGTCACCCAGCTGTGATCTTCCCTGTACCTGAGCAATGTCTCAACAAAATCCCATGTGTGCGTCTGTGTATGTAAATGTATATATATGGACAGATTTGTACCAACTCTGCATTGTTACACTTGACTTACTCTTTTTTTTAATTATGTAAAAAAATCACATTAAGCTGAATCTAATTACTGCAATGTATATTAGAAGCAGGGCACCATCAAAATTTTATTTAAATTAATCAGGTTTTGATTTAAGATATTAAATTCAAATTAATCATGTAAAAATGGAAATGATCCTTGACGTGCTTCCAGCTGTGACTTCAGTCTGTTTTCTCGTGTGAGTCACTTTCGGGATGTCTTGGGGGGAACATTACGAAAATTCACGCCGGTGCTATTTCAATTAGAGTTATTTAGCAGGACAGATGTAAAGAATACGGTATAATTAAGAAGGAGCTGATGACACGGCTACAGATTTTCAGGATCAAAAAAAACCTGTTAGTGAAAATTGACTACTGGTCATGTAGTCCAAGTTCAAATATGCTGGGGTTAAGCACTCATTAATGATGGAATAAGGTCTTTAGATAGACCATTGGACTCTTTCTCCGGAGCAATATGCAGAATTCTTCCCTGGAAATAACTTTGAAGCTTCATTAGCAAGCAGATGATACCTGATAACATAATTTTAAAATTCTTAAAATAATTTTCCACCCCCTAGTGTCTAATCTTTATCTGGCTAGCTAACTTCAAAGGCCTTTAGGAAAACATGTAAGAGACATATAAATGACCAGGTAAGAGCACATATACACAGAGAAATGTATATGTGTATACTCAAAGCATTGTTAAACTCATGATGAATATGAGCTGCCAGGAATACTGCTATTTTTTCTACTGCTCTTTAGCAGAATGAGAGACTGTACTAGTTGCACATTTCCTGACTGAAATCAACAAAGAGAATGGGGGCTTTCCCATGCAGAGGCCTGACTTTGTGTTTATTTATAACTCTTTAAATGATCAGTATTTCCATTGTGAAAAGTGAACTGCTCATTGTTTCTTTACTCAAGTATAGAGTGATGCAAATGCAAATGTGCCGCAATACTATGCAGCGTGAACCTTGGAAGTTATTTTTTCAAATTATTTTACCTCAAATCTATTCTCCCATGTAAAAGTCGACATGGAAAAAGATCAGAGGGACTATAATCCTTTCCTTCTCATACTCATAGTTGTCCTGAAAATATGCATCTTTAAACATGCTTCTTATAGTTGCTATCCAGGGCTCTCAGTATCTGCATCCCTCCTACTGAGTAATAGCAAAAGCCAAGTTAAATTTAAAAAATGCACAGTACATACTGTACACTCATAATTATAGATTAAATATTGATCTCCATGGTGTTTTTTCCATTTCACTGGCAATCTTTCTCTTTCCAAAGCAATGTCCTGTTGTCACTTCACTCTGAAAAGCATTACCAAGTGAAAATATTTTCTGCAACTAAAACCATTGCTTTTGGCTAAAATTTAAACAAATCAAACTATAGCAGGTGACAATAAAATAATTTAAATGTCTAGTTCTGTATATCTGGTAACATTTTTCAGAAGCCAATCTTAGAATTTGTAGTCACATTATTTGCTTGTTCAAGGAGCAGCACACAGCAGTAGCTAAAGGAGAAGCAGTGCACCAGACCAAGTGTTCCTGGCTATCCATAATAGATGAAAATTAAATAGCATATTACACTTGCCATGGCATACCTATTATGTAGATTTCTAGGCAGGAAATTGTCTGCAAAACAGATACATAGTAGGCATAAACTTTTTGTTATTAGGGTAGTTGATCATGGTGTTATTACAGTTGTAGGAATATAATGATTCATTGAGGATTTCTGCTTCCCACTCAGAAGATATAAACCAACATAATGATTGTTCTTTAATAGTATTTAAAGATATTTTAAAAACAAATTGCGCAGGAGTTTTGCATAATAATGGTTTCAGTTTTCCAGGAAATGCTTTTTTGGGAAGTGCATAACTGTTTAAATATTAAAAATGGCTCCTCATAATAAACTTGAATGTAGTAAGCAACCTATGAGAAAGGATATGATAAAAAATATGCTCAATTTTGTCCTTTTAAAATTTATTTTTTCTTTAGACATAACAGCTGGAAAGAACAATTATTTTTTTTCATGAACTAGGTTGTTGTCTGGATAACTGAGATGCATTTTCCCATGAGAGATACACAGGTTCATTTCCCATCTGGGTATCTTTCCCCTCCTGTTTCCTTTCTCCCTCCAACTCCCCTCTTGCAGGACTAGAACATATTGATAATGAACCATTGGTTTCCATTTCACACCCAAGAGATTGTACGAAACACAAAGCTGCTCTGTGTGAAGCATAGATTAGCCCAAAGATGTTTGTTCACATTTTTCTCAATCTTTCATCCATGCCTGTATGGGTGGATTCCCCTAATAGCAGGGACTCATTTGTAGGTTGAGGACACAAGTAGTTTAGATTGGATTCTTTGATCAAGTTAGAAGTGAAGTTGATGATCCCAGGATGGAAACCTCAGATGCCTTTAGAGATCCTATGGGGAGGACAGTTGGACAGGGTTGAGTCTCACTCCTTACCAAGCAAAACTGGCCTTAACAATGGTGGTTGGCCATGGTCTTAACATCTGTTTATGAGAGGGCAAAGCTAAGTTCTCCTGATTTCTGGTGTTTTCTTTAATTTTAAATCACTATGAAAATACATATTTTTAATAAATTTTTAGTTAATTCATTTTCTTTAGCCAAAATGTATAAACCTCTGTCTGTCGCTCATTGATTTACAACATGTCTGACAAAACATAAGTCTTAAGGTATCATGGGTCTCTAGAATTGAGCCTGGTTAGTATACCAGAAAATTATATATGAAAGATGCGACTTTTGCAACTGGAACCTTCATTCCAAGGATATGTTGAGGTCTTTCTCTCCAGGGGCAATTGACAGATGCACCTGGGCCGACTCAATGAGTAAAGCTTGTACTTGGGGAGAATTGTCCTGAGAGAAGGAGGATCTGCAAAGGCGAAACCTTAATTTTTACCAGTTTTAATGAGTCATTTTGGAGGCATTTTGTGTCTCTGTCTACTAGTAGCACTCTAGCTAAGGCTGTAGTGGCTTTTCATCCCTGGATAACTGAGTTTGTTCTCCTCTGTTTGCACAGCACAGTCAGCATTGGCCCTCATAATATATGCTTTTATTCCTTCTAAGACCAGCAAGAAAAGATACATAATATCTTATAGACAGACATGCTAATTTTGAAAGTGATTTTCCCAGCAGCAGAACATGCCCCATGTTTTCCATCTAGAAGTCAAATGTTTATGATTAACTTTAGAAAACTCTTTTTTAGGATACTGAGGCATGAATATGCCTGTAGAAACGCCTCTTTCAGTGGCCTTGCAAAGTTCCCTCTGTGAAATGGTTAAAGAAATTTTCAGAGGAGAGGTCCTCACTTACCAGCTGTGAACACACAGCGTGCAATGCCAGTGGAAGAGTCTGGGCAAGTCAGTGAAAAGAAAGCTAATTACACTGAAAGAAATCTCCACATTCAGCATACATTAGCCAACCCAACAAATCACTGACACAGTACAGAACCTGAAACCACCCAAAATACTAAGCTTGACTGTTAATTAAAAACCAGGTCCCTAATTCCAGGCCACTCTGCTCTAAGAAGCAATAAACACTGACAAACAGCAGAAGTCAATGCTGCAAGCCTTTCCACTGAGGATAGTTAAACAGGCAGTGAAGCCAATTTTCCAGGTTTCATCAGGAACCATGCCATCTTTTGTGTTGTTATTAACACCTGTAGAATTAAAAGGAAAAAAAAAACAAAAAACAAAAAACAACAAAAAAACAACAAAAAAACAAAAAACAACCCACAATCTCTTCTATTTTATTTTAATGATATGAACATTTCTACCTATCCTGTTTGCAAAGAACAGTTTGGACAATGAACACTGTAAGGTTGAGAAAATTCAGTTTTTAAAATAAACTAATATTTAAGATGGGCTTTAAAGATATTGTTATTTCTACACTCATCTCACATTCTTTTGGGACCTGATTCTGAACTTTTGAGTTTTGCAGTCTGTCAATATTAGATTCTGGTTCACATATATGTTCACATCCTAACCTGGTGGAGTGGGTGAGGTACTGGAAAAACTTGAAATTGTATATAGATTGTATATGGAATCTGTCTCTTGATTAACACACTCAAAGTAGAATAGAATGGCACAGGATTTTGTTTTGGTATCAAGATATTTTAGAGTTGGATACGATAGTATCCTATTCAATCTAACATTAGTAGACACAATGATTCAGACGAGTCTTTAATGAGTTTCTTCCTCAGTCTTGATGTTACATCAGTTTTTTGGCCCTGACAGCAGGCAGTTATGGGAATACTTTACTTTCTCTTGTAGGGAAAAGAGGTGTATGAAATTCATAATCTTCCAGGCAGCTGTGCTGAAAATTAGGCAATCATTTGGAGTTGAACAACGTGTTCAGATTTGAGAAAAATGAGATGTCCTCTGGGTTGAAAACAGTAACATGAAAAAGGGCAACTCGGCTAGATGCGTCCAAACAGGCCCACAAAGACAGATAACTATATCTGTGCAGAGAATTTAACTGAATTAGAGCTCCAGTCCAAAGTCTAAATTCTGTATCAATTTACAGTCCAGATCAGAAGATGCAAGGAATCTTTTATCTTTAGCTGAATAAAAAGTAAATCTGTAAGAGAAAGGACATTCTTGATTCTTTTAAATTACATACCATGCAATATCTGATTTATGAAAATCACCCTGACACAGCCAAAATCCATACTTACATACCATGTACTCTTAGTTTAGAAACTATCTTTAAAAATAAAGTAGGACAAAGTCTAACTATTTTCATGAGCAATAAACACACCTCTAGTTGTTTTTTGTTTTTGTTTTTGTTTTGTTTTGTTTTGTTTTGTTTTCCCCCTTCTGGACTTCCCATCCTACTGGTTCTATGTGTTTACATAAAAATATTTTTAGAACATCATATTTTCCTTATTCAGTAGCAGCACAATGCTGTGAATAGCTTAACAATTCAGTGGAACTTCACAATATCCTAACCTGAGACAGCAGACTCCTAATTATAAACTGAGAATAAGCTGCAGCCTTGTCAGAGTGATTTCATTATCCTGATTGCATCAATTTTGACCCTTTATGAGTCTGTGTGTTATTTGGGACATCAGAAGCCTAACAACTGAAAACAAGCAAAAGACAGCTGCTTTCTGCTTACAGAAGTCTCTGGATATATTTAGCAATTTAGCCTTCAAAGCAAGCAGTTTTGCTTGTACTATTGTAAGATGTATCATTTCTCAGTAGGGCCCACATGTTTGCCTTAATCAGATAGGGTTCTTCTTGTTGTTCTTAACCTACTTCCTTTCCAAGAGAGGTAAGGGAACTTTAGCAGCAGCCGTCAGTAGCAAATGAAGTGGGAAGAAGCAAAGAATAAAAAATAGGCTGGGATTTATAAAAAGAATGTAAAAATCTATGATTATATAATGATGTACAGAAGATGCCAGCTACCACAGAAAGCTATGGCATCACTGTTAATTTAGTGAGCTCCATGATTCTCACTTCTCTAACATAAAGGCAGTTTCTGAAGTAGTTTGAAACCCATAATCTTTACGATATGGGTTGAGAAATTGTCCCAGTGCTCAAAGTCAAAACTGAAGAAGGAGAGTTTGTTATCTGATGAAAGGCATTTGACCCTAAGTTAACTTTTGTTCAGCTTGGCTGAAATAGAAAAGGAAATGAGAAATCATGTAGAGGTACAGGTAGATGTGGAGTTTTCTGAATGAAGAAGAAAATAAATCAATTAAAAAAAAAAAAAAAAAAAAAAGTGAATTCAACCAAGGTAATTATTTGTGAATCAAAGCAAACAAGTCCAAAAGTCTAAGTTCTTAGCAGAGGAAACTACTTCTATAAAACTTACCATTTCAAGATAAGCAAATAAAAAGTAGAAAGCAGATCTATAGCTTTAAGTGACTTTGCTGCTGCTCTGAAAGGACAGAGTGTGGAAGCTGTGACCATTCGCTTCCCATCCTGTTTTGCAGAGATGTGAAGCCAGTAGGACTGCTGCACTGGGAGCCATCTTGGCCACAGGTGATGAGCTTCATCATCTGCAATGCTCAGTAGGCCAATCAAGCTGGCCCTGCGTGAGGTAAGATGGATAGCCTCCCCATGTGCCCTGAGCTCCCTCTGAAATTTCAGCAGATCAATGTCACTATGGCTTTTAATTACCCCTTTGCTTCATCATTATTTCATGGACTTTAATATGCCCTGCAGGACACATCATCACAAAGTACAGATAAACAACCACCAAGCCTAGTGCCTCTTGAGGTGCTACACTCACCCTCTAAAGGGAAATGTCAGTGCCGAGCTCATTTCCCTGGGTAAGCTGACCTCAGGGTTTCCAGGCTAATTTCAACCTGAGCTGAAACACAAGAGTAGTCGCTCCACCAGCATGTTCTGGCCTGAGAGCTAGAATTTCTTGCTATTGTCACACACAGGTATGGAGATCAGAGTGGCCACTAGGTCTTTTGCACTTAATGCATGTTTTCTGAAGGGGAAACCAATCTATCCTTGCAGATCCTGTGTGGTAACCCCCCCAAAAAATTGAACAGAGTGGAGGACAAGGTCTACCCATAGAAGATATTGAAAGCATCCTAAAAGAGGCTCAAACAGCCTCTCAGAGCTCTGGGCTCAAAGGTACTCAAGTGGTGTGCAGAAAGAAACACATCCTGAAGATTGTGAGCAGCATGATTTGTTGTAGAGTTTGGTCTAATATACACTCATTGGTATATGATGTCTGCAGGCAAGCTCTAACTGCAGAATACAACTCTGGGCTACTCAATAACCCCTGGTTAAGTACTGTGCCAGTTAAGGTTGGAGCAGTTCTAGCTTTCTGGTTTTAATTTGTGAATCACTGTGGCTCATCAGGGAGACAGTGCTTATCTGGCAATTGTGAGCAAAACTGAGGGGTAAAAATGGTATGATGAAAATTATCCAACATCAATATGTGAATATAACTTTTGATGAATGTTGAGGAAAAAAGATCATAAGCAACTTCTCTTGGAAGATGCTATTAGATATCTGCCATGTTGCTTACAATGTGGCTAGCTGTCACTTTCTGATGTGCATCACTGAGTTCTGATTTGCAGCACTGTAAATTCTCCATGAGGAGAAAGATCTGCCTTCTTTAGACATCTTTGTCAGGCTAGAATCAATGCGGGGGGGGAGGGGGGAGGAGAGGGGGCTGAAAAGACAAGGCATACTGCAGATTTATGCTCTAGTAATAGTAGATCTGGGAGAAAGTAATCTGCAGTCATTTATGGTACTTCCTCCATGGCAGGGAGCAAGTGAGAGAGAGGAGATGTTTCAACATGTGAGCAACAGTAAGAACATAAGCAGTAACATTGTTACTAGCATTCCCACCTGGGTTCCCAAATACTGGCCACTGTGTCTGACCTACTGCTCCTGCTGGCTGGAGCTAATGGGAATGGGAACTCCCTTAATAAATCTGTACCTGCTTAGGTGTGATAAAGCAGCATCCACATTAAAAGGCTCAAACAGGGATGATAATTCCTCGCTATAGTTCTCGTTCAGGTGCTGGATACCCTGTGCAGAAGCTAGCATAATTGTTATGAAAGAATGGGTGATATGAGAAAAGGGAAGGCTAAGTGGCTACTCTCAACAGTGAAGAAATTGAATCCCTGAAGATTTTTCCCTAGGAGACTGTGGCCTTTGTTTTCCCAAAAATCTACTGGCTGAACAGACTCCCTTTGTCTTTCTTTCCTCATTAAAAACTGTTATCTGTCTGTGGGTAGCTGGCACTAGCTGACAGAGCTCTGTGGAGAGTCATGGCAAGGACAAGTATGAGAGTGGGCTAAATGAATTCCATATTCCTACTGGGGAGAAAAAAAAAAAAAGAAAGAAAGAAAGAAAAAATAAATAAATAAAAGAATATATTTAGTTTTACTGAGAGAAAGGGACTTCATTAATTATATATACCTGACATGGTTCTAACTTAATTTTATTGATGCCAGGAGAACAAAAATAGAAGAAGATGGGTTGACCTAAATGCATAGAGCAAGTAATGGTTCTATGCTAATTGACATGAGAGTATGTAGGCAAAAATTATCATGTAAGGGCAGCTTAAATCAATTTTTGTGAGAGGAGGTATTAATTAATGAGTTGTGGGCAGTGCAATTAGTTGACTTATTAAAGCCCAGTGTATCTGAAGTCAGTTTCCAGAATGAAGATAACACGTGCTGTAAACTTGTTCCTTTGAGATTATGCTTAAGGCTTTGATAACCACTGCCTGATTGAATGAGATGCAGCCATGTTTAGAGAACCCCAAGAACCAGATCAAACTGTTCTACCCAAATTCTCATCGCAGATACACATTAACCAGCTCTCCCTGTGGAGTCTAGAAGTTATGCATATTTAAACTCAAGCTTAACGCTGCTTAGATTGGATGTGAAGGTTCCACATCCATGGGAAAATACAGTTACATTTTTTGTGGGTAATTAAAATCAAGAAGCGGTCAGTTTAATGAGGACTGAGATATGAAGATGCATTTACTTTGAGCTCTTCTTATTTGAATTCTTGTTTAAATAATAACAGGGCTATTTGCTTAAGAAAAAGAACCCCGAGGTTCCCAAATGGACCCTCAGTCATGTTAGGTTTTCTGAATTTTCTTAAATTTGTCTCCTTCAGCCATGAAAAGTTTTCTTAAAGTTTATTGGCAAGAGACTATTTGCCAATTGACCACTTGATCTGGATCTTCATGTGCCATTTGAACACACCCAGAGGCATAAAGCAGTTTCCCACTTCAGACGGGCATTGCAAATGAAGCTACAACCACAGACAGTATTTCTAATTCTGAACTACGTTTTCAGGGAAGAATTAGCAGGCAAAAGGTCATCACCAGCAAACGTTTCAGGAGCAAAAGTTGAAACTTAGAATTTAAATACCTCAAAAACCCAAACAAACAGAAATAAATGGACCTGTGTGAGCAATCTGAATTTACAGTCTTGTGTGACGGTGCTACAGTCTTCCAGTTCCCTGTGTGTGATAGGTAGGCAAAGTCACTGACAATAATTTTGAGATAAAAAAATATAAGGCAAAAGAACAAAAACATGTATACATTTCCCTTTCTCTCTTTCTTTTTTGATTTATATCTGGAAATGAATTGTGTTGAAATAAATACACATCACAGAGTTCACCTGGTGTAGCAGGTAAATGCACTGCTTCTCTGAACCACGAAACAGC